GAAAGTAACTTTTGAGATACCAAATTGAGCAGTGTTCATCGGAAGCTCGGTTAAATTTCCACAAAGGCACGAAAGCTCTTGTAAGCTCTCTCTGTGACAAACTTCAAGCGCGCTGCATAATGCAATTAGACTGGAGGCTACACACTTGTTTAATATATATCTCACAAATGCCGTCCCAGAGTTCACTAAAAATGTCAATAGCGCTGGACACTATGATATCTGAAAATTTTCTTTTTCTGCATCGTTTCCCCAACAGCATCACAGCTTGCACAATAACAAGACATTATTTGACGGAAACTTACTGCATAAGAAGATTTTTTATCCAAACTGCAGGAACATGTAGTGGGAAGAGTTTGATCACCAAATGTGTTATTTTCCAGCAACATCTCTTTCTCAGAAATCACCCTTTATTCGACCTACCAAATGGTTTCAACTTTTGAGAAGATAATCGCATTCTTATATTGGTATCATAAAAGGTCTAAGGTTTAGACTTATTTGAAGTTTCAGCCAATAATCATAGAGCTCGTGTCAAAAATGGCTTTATAAAATCGAGAAAAAGTGTACTACAAATAGCATGCTAGACCCTTTATCAAATTAATAACTGAGCATAAATTTGGTTCAGAGACTTAGATCAATATATATATAGATGGAGTAGATTTAGCCATGATCGTCTCTACATCTGTTCGTACGAAAACTAATCTCTCAGCTTTTTAGTTATTTCAACCAAACTTGGTACACATATTTGCTAGTGCATTTAAATGATTACCTGCCGGCACAAGCCAGATGTATAGCAAATATTTTGGACTTTGAATCATAAATCTGACAAAGGAGGATCAAATGGCGTGAAAGGTCTTACACTGGACATGAATATTACAGATAAATACTGACACTAAAAAGAAAACCGATTTGTTAAGACATGCGGTTTTGTGTCAAAAATCTACTAAGAAATATCAGAACGCGTGAGGTGTATAAAAATGAACACTGAAACCGGTAGTCAGCAAAATCAGAAAACTATATCATCTAACCCCCATACAATCAAATTTTTTTAAGACGTTTTGGGTCGAAATTCCGTCGAATGAGAATCTAAATGCGTGAGATTTGATATTCTTTACAGATACGAGTATATACCAGTAAACACTGATACTCGCTGATATGATATGATAATGAATATTTAATAATACAACGAAATACTATAAATTTAATTTAGTCATGAAGAGTTGCTTATTATAGAAGCAAATAACAGCCGTGAAAATAAAAACAATCGACAAGCTGAAAATCAAAGCAATTACTTTTTAAAGCAATAATCAGACTACGTGTTCAGAGGAGTGCAGGGAGTGCCACTGTACGCAGTAATGAAAATTAATTTTCTATAATTTTGGTCGGACTAGGACTATAACCTTGGCCAAGTGAATGTTAGTATGTCAAGCTAATCACACGGCTATTGTTCTATGTTACGCTGCCAAGAAAATTTAGCGAAATCAATATCAATTCTCGTTATTTAGAGAATAAATTTAAAATAAAATTTACCTGAGGTAAGCAGTAGGTTGAACTTTTCCTGAGACAAACATAACGTCTTTGAAAAACATATTTATATATACTTTTTTTAGATACTTTTTTTATATGAGGTCAAAAAAAAAAAACAAAAATCTAGTTTAGCTCAGTTTTTTTCCTTTTCGAATAGTGTAACTTTGATAATTATCTCATTGTGTGTCAATTAAATTAAAATCAACTTACGCAGCTTAGACAATTTTAAATAGCATGCAATATACTCGTATTTATATATTTGCGCTCACCTACTGTAAGCATTTGAAAGTGTTGCGTATACGCCCCGTGGCAACAACTTCAGACCACACACGCTTCCACGAAAGCGTACTTATTACACTGAATTGATGTTTGTGGCAATGCAATTTTTGCCAATATATAAAACCACAAGCTCAGCAATGAAAAATTTTTTCAGTGTATGCTTAACACATATATACATATTTGTGTACATCCGAGTACATAAAAAATATGTGGAAATTTGTAATTCTCCTTTTCAGGCCAACGCATATCAGTACATAAATATGAAGAGTATATACAAGTGCTGGGTGTAGGCAGTGTACGCATACACAAAACACCTACGCGCAACACCAACAAGTGTTGGCATCTATGTACGCGTGCATGTTCATGGGTGTGCAAGAGCATGACGTGCCTGCAGCAAGTACATTTTAACGTGGATTTTTAAAATCGCACGGCAACCAAAAGTTCGAAATTGAAAATATAAAATAAAAAAAATAAAAATGTAGAAATTTCGAAAACAAGTTAAAGTTTAATATTTAAGCTTTAACTTTACTTTTGTGCTGCCTGCTATGCGTCATGCAACATCACATATGCTTGTACAATTGCGTGTATGTATCGGAGTGAGCATATGTGCCAACCACTCCTTTCAGTATTATTAAGCCACTCTCACTCGCTGGACATTTTTTTCACCCATTTTTCTTCCATTTTTCTGATGCTTTTATAAAAGTTTTACTTTGTGCATTTTTTGTTGTACATTGTATGCAGGCGTTGCAATAAATGAAATAACAGTATATGACTTAAATTTGTATGCGCGCACTTAATACGCATTTATACCTTCAAAATTTAATACATATAAACATATTTACATGCATACATACATAATACATATACATATATATATATATATATATATATATGTGATATATTCAGGCATATATGCCGATCAACCTTCAGTGGGTGCTTTGTGCTCGAAGTTTTAAACGAGTTAGTGCCATGTCAACCAACCAACCACTGTAACATTCAGCCACACATCGCATTCACAGTCTGTCCGTGCGTCTGTCCATCGCATGCATGCATGCATGCGAGCTGTTTGCGTGATTGACGTTCACATATTATTGTTGCTTTTAAAACAGCTGCAAGTGTTCGGTGTTCGCTTTATTTTTGACATTAGCCCGCATGAAAAATGAATGGTGGGTGGACGTGCCTGCCTGCCTGTGTGTGGCTGATATACATACGAATACATACATAAATGTGTGTAAATATTTTTCCGCAGATTGTTACTTTGTAGTTTATGGGTGAGTTGTGGGTGGTGCTCTTTGTATTTCTCACTTTAATATGCGAGATAATATAAAGTAACTGACACCATTTCATTGGAAAAATATACAACTTGAATAGTCTAATACCAAGAAATTTGCGTTCACAAAGTTGTCGGTTTGCTTTTTAGAGCTTAAACCACACGCACGGATATTTCCATTCAAATAAGTAGTATACCGTAATGAGTAAGTAATACCGCGACTATTTGTGGGCACAGCTCACGCGGTTTTGGTTGCTGCAACAATAGCACACCATTCGTGCTTCCTTTCATTGTTTGACCCAACTCGAAATTTCAAGTGAGATCATCTGATCTTTTCAACGAAGTGGAGGTTTTCTACTCCTTTGTCCGCTGTTTCAACCAGTGGGTGCTGGATCGAAACATTCAAAGCTTGAGTGTTTCCTATCCATTCGGATGACATGCCCTAGCCAGCTTTGCTGCTATTTATTCCCTCGCTAAACCATGTCTAGTACAGTTCGTAGTTCTATGATCTGTGGTACCCGCTGCTACCAACAAGGAAAGGACCGTAAATCTTCTGCAGTCTCTCGAAACCTCCCACGGCCAATTCAACGAATTTTGATATCTTCCATACTACTGCACCATATAAGAGAGCAGGAATGATGAGAAAGTTCCCCCCTCAGAAACGTCGTTTGCTACCGAAAAATTCAAAGGGCTTCCCTTCCAAGCTTCCTGATTGTACTCGTGGTATACCCCATCGTAAATTTACATGGATCTGTAAGTTTTGCAAGATTAGCAGATTCAGTTATAGCGGAATAGAGGTAATACCCATTTGTCCTGCCAAAGACAACTCATAGATCTTAGACGAATTGTGAGAGAGCTTCTCAAGGTGAACAAGTTTTTCAAATGGCCAAGTAACCAATAATGGATTATACTGGAGAGGTGTTATAAAATTAAAATAAACAGTAAGTGGGAGTAGTCTTCGAAATTCTTTGGCAATTCAAAAGGCACAAAGAAGTATCTATGCTCAGCAAGAAAGATGGGGAGTGGACAGAATGTAGTGAACCAGTGATAGAGCTGGACATTACAAACTTTCCGTGACGTGCGTAAAAAAATATGTAGATCTTGAACCTTGTATCGATAGAAAGTTATAGCTCAAAGTGTGCGCGAACAGCCATCAACAGTCTTCGCGGAACTAAAACATTGGGCACATTTCCATGAGCAGAATTTTTCAAAAAAGCCTAGATATGAAAGTCTATAAAGTCGATTTGGGTAATAACTAAAATCTCACTACAACCAGGTGGTCCAATAACTGAAGCCTCTTAACCAACTGACGCGATCTAACTTCGTTCAATTGGCTGAAGGATCGCTTGGCAAAAAATCAGTATTTTTACAGAAAATTCATCTTTTCCGCAGAACCTTGTCTCAGCAAACAAAACTGCCGCATTTGAGACTCAGAAAACTATATTTCAAAATGTTGAAGATAGCGATATGGACGACGTTGCGTCTTACATAGCCTATCTTACCAGCAATTGGTTGCGCACTGCGTTCGAAAATCCCATTATCAGCCGAAACAGCAAAGTCAAGTGACTGCCTGACAGCTGTCATCTGACTTCTTCGGACAAAGTTTTGCTAAGAAACCATTAAGCCATCCAGAGATGACTCATGATTCGAATCACAAAACTGAATTCGCGATTGCAACGGAAATATTAGGTTTAGAGACACAATTGAATGGGCTATCAGACATTTCAAAAGGCGGTAGTGGAAGACTCATTTTGATACCAACATTTTTTAATCTCATAAGCCAGATACCTTTCTGGTACTAATTCACTATATTTAATATTGTATAACATCCTATGGTCTTTGGAAATATTGTAAGCACGACTTTAGCCTAGTCTTAAAAATTTTTTGATTTAAAATTCAGTTTAAATTTCAATAGCTTGATTTTTACCTTTAATTTTTGAAATTTGGCCTCTGCGTCCTTATCTCCATCATTCTTATCCGGATGAAATTGTAGAGCCAAAATTTTGTACTCAGCTTGAATTTGCTCAATCTGAAAATAAATGCAGATCATATAACATATTACAACGGTAAATAAATTTAAGCGTAAATTTTTAAATTAAATTTTAAGTAATCAATAAGCTTTAAGTGCTTCAGATAAGAATTCAGTCTTATTTCTTGCATACATACAGATCTCGCACATTTTGCTTAAATTCTATGCTTAACATTTTATAAGAATATCAAAAACTGCCAAATAAAATATCTGTTGATATCAAACGAAAATTCGTTAAAGTACCTAACTTCATCTATGTAAGGACAATGATAATGTCGAATGAAAGGAAATGTCCTTTATCGACGAATTCAAATTAAACTCAACGAATTACTCATCACTCCCGCTCTGCGGTATGATGTGGAGGCATAGAAGATGTCAACATCCGAAGAGTCGACGTTCGAAGTTTTCGAGAGGAAGGTTTTACGGTAAATTTATGGACCTTTGGTGGTTGCCATATATGATGAGTTGTAAGAGAAATTGATATAGTTCAGTGAACTAAGAAACAGCTGTCTGCTTTTTCAGTCACGTTCCAGCCTTGAGAGTTTTTTTTGTAATATCCACTGATCATGGCATCAGTTGGTAGTCTACATGGGCCATTAACAGTGAAGAGAAGAAACGATAGCGTGCAAGTGCTAAGTCGGTTATAAAAGTGTAAACTGTGTTTACACCAAATAGACGAAGAATGTCAAATTAGAGGGTCATAAAAATTAAGTTTAGTTGCATGAATTTTATGAGAAATATAATTACGTGCGGTGTGAAGAAAGATATCGAGAGTTAAAGAGGAAATCAAGACGTATTAGCAGACAGAAAAAGCGGAAAAAGCTGGCGGACACAAAATTTCTATATAAAAAACAACAATGACTAAACAAGGTTACAAGATCAGAGCAGACTAATATAGAAACCAAAGAGGTAGTGTGGTAACCGAATGCCAGTGCAGCATGCATAGCTTCCGGTGGGAACAGTTCTTGTGCCTTGAGCCTGGTAGTGAAAGCCGCCGCAGATAGTATAGTATAGATCAGCAATCGGTGGTGATAGAAAAGACGTTCCAATACCTGACAAACACGAGTTTTGAATGACGATTGTCCGCTTAAAGAATAACAAAGCAATGGGCGCCGATGGCTTGCCGGAAGAGCTGAATGGCGGCGAAGATAGATATGTGTGCGCTGCTTAATCCACAAAGAAGAAACCCCACAGCCTGCAGCAATTAAAAAGGGGAAAATCTCCTCCTTTTGGCAAATAAGATTTCGAAGAATAAAGCATGCGAAAAACTGCGAACTGATTGGACTTTGCCACTGTGATTTCTAAACTGTCATTTCCAGATATTCCGCTTGTATTGAGTCTAGGGAAATACCCTTAATTAATAATAATCGCCACACAACACTACTTCGTCGTTTTTAAAGAAGCCTTTGAAATCACATTAAGCTTATGCGGGCATGTAAACTGCTGCTGGGCAACACGAAAAGCTCTGTCAAGATCTGGAAGGACTGTGCCAAGCTAAACGTGGTTTTTCGTTTAACGTCTTTAATTTGGTGCTCGAGAAAATAGCACTAGCTGCAGAGCCAACACAGGGAAGATGCAGTTTTCTATAAGAGCCTGGAACTTCAATTGAATAAATTTAAAGCGTCTTCTATGACTAAAACTATTGCTGCTATCAAACAATAAATTCCATTATCTTGGCATAATATTTATCAATGAAAACATGCTTGGTAGGTATGTCGTCGTTGATGGAATTGCTTTAGCTTAAGCGACCATTCCGGTTAATGGTGAAGTAATTGTGTGTAAAAATGGCAAATCAAATGAGTCAAGTGAGTTTATATTCATAGTTAATCTGGATGTGAGTGTGCACTAACACAATGTGTTAACTCTATATATACTCTATGGATGCAAGTATATTTTTATAAGCACATAAATGAGCTGCAATAACATGGACTATCGCTTTCAAGTAATAACGCACATATGCAAGCAATGGCCCATTTCATGAAACTCCACTGGACATACGTATACACTTTATTATGGTATAGATATAAACACAAACTGGTATGTCCTAAAGTATCCTTGGTTTTGATATTATAAGAAGCCGACAGCCAGGCGCATTTTATGATAAACTTAAAGCTTAAGTGCTCGCTCCTCTGATTTACTCTCAAGCCCTGTAGGGAAATATACCAGTTGTTAACTAGTATCCAACTAGTTTTCATTTTTGCGCTAAACAGTTCATCTTCCATCTATTTGCCGTGAAACCAATTGGTATTTTTAACATTGATTTCGATGCATTCCCAATTATCAATTGTCCGATTATACATCAGCTTCGTACTAGTTATATACTAGTTCATTTAGGTATGTTAAGTTTCTACTTCACAAACAAAAATTAAAGTAAAAGTAAAATAAAAAAAAAAAATTGCTTGCAGAGAGAATTGAACCTTTAACCTCATACTCTGCAGAGTCAATCTCTAACCATTCGGATATAGTGATGAGGAAGTAATAAACGTCATTTTGCTTTGCCACAGCGTAACTGGAAATGGAGCTCAGCCTTGGCATGCTAGATATTTTCGGATAAGAGATCAAAAATAAATATTTATCATTGAAAAACGCTTTATTGTTCTCACCATTAAGATCTATACACTTTTTCATGAACCAGTTGTAGAAACATTTTTCCAACTCTCTTTGAGATATATCCTAAACATACGTTCTGAACGTATCAAGCGACTCTTCAGATGTCGTTGATCTCTCAGTTCGTTTCTTACATATGGGAATAAAGAGAAGCTATTTGGTGCCAAGTAAGGAGTATGAGGTGACTCATCAAAGCGATGTATCGAGTGCTCAAAAATTCAGTTATTTCAGTGGATGTGTGAGAGCTCGCTTTGTATTGATCTAGAGCGATCCGTCTTTGGCGGTTGGTTTTCCTAATTTCTCAAAAGACAACTGCCAAACAAATGGTTGTGTTTCACACAGAATTTACTGTTCCGCGTTCTGCTAGCGATACGGTTGCTTGGAAGTGCTTCGTGCGCAAAAAACGTTTTTAGGTTTTGCCTGTTCTTTAAACATCCCATAAAACGATTGCTGTTTATTTACGGGTTTATACTTGTAAAACCACGATTCAACGAACACCATGTCATATACGTGTTCGGAAGTAATTTGTTTTTTACATTTCTCTCGATTAATTGACAATTTGTGTGGGATCCAAAGTGAAAACAATTTTTTTACAGTTCGAAATTCGTGCTTTATGGAATGTATACTGGTGCCACTACTACCCATAGTTGTCTCAATCTCACGATAGATCACATGTTGGCTTTGCTACATCAGTTTGCGCACGGCATCAATAGTATCCGGTACAACTACTGATATTGGATGACCTTAACGAAGTTCATCTTGGAGTCATCTATGACACCGCTGGAGCTTCACCGCCAATAATTGAATTAAGTTCCCCGATGCGCTGTTGCTGAGCTAATTCCCTTTGAAATTTGTAAAAAGTAATTTGGCGAAGAGGTTCGCGAGTTAATTTCAATTTTTTTTGGCTGAGGTGAGTATTTTAAGTTCTGTAAACAACACAAATAGCGCTCGATTATCAAAAGATTTTGAAAATTTATAACATAAAAAGTTCAAATTTTACAATAAATTTACCCTGCAATAGGGCTACCAAGCCTCGATGTTGCCATATGAGACAACCGTCGTATAAATTTATTGCTACTTTTTATTACTGCCGACACTGGTGAATTGTGGTTAACTATTATACAAATTCTGCATTTCATCTTCAAAGTGTCAGTATTTAACTGCACTTTTAGCAAAAGTCGACTAATTTTTTCCTGCAGGCAATTTCTTCGCTTGTGTGTATGTGGTTGTGTGTGTATGTAACAAGTGCGTGCGTGTGTTGTGGCGGTGCCTGGATAACCTACTTTGTTGGCTAACAAACAAATAATGAAGAAATGTGCAAAGTACGCAGCAGGAGAGCTGAAGTTTTTTCCTGCCACGGGATAGAGAGGCAGCGCTGGCGTTTTATATGTGGAAATTGTGAACGTCATCATGGTCTTTTTGTTTTGCTGCAGCAGTGCTTTAGGAGTCAACAGTTGTTCGGACAATTGTCTTTTGCTTTCGCTCGCCATACACTTGTCGGCAATGTAAATTTGTATTGTTTTCGAGTTGTATTCTTCGGAAGAACGGACTTTATTGTTGTTGCACTTTTATTGTTATCGTTTTCTTATATACTTATATATATAAATGTGTATATATCTATATGTTTCTTTTACTTTGGTCAGTGTTGTTGGTAGGCGCTTGTGTGTTCTACATGTATTTACCGTCTGACTTTTTTGATTGCTTGTTCTTCTGCTTCTTTGACTTTGTTGTTTGTTTTAGGCTTTGTTTTGTCCTTTTTTATGACTGTCAAGTTTGTCTGGCACTCGTTCGCGCCTTTACTTTTATAATTAAGTTTTGTTTTGTTGAATTTATATTATTGTTTTTTTTTTTTTTTTACTTTTTTGTCATGCCTTGTAGAGTTCTTCGACAGACACTTTAGCTTTACCTGACAAGCAGTTAAATTGATTTCACCACAACAAATTTATTTTTGCGTTTCTCTCGTGAGTTTATCGATGCCTCTGGGTGTGTGAAGATTTTTAATGTATTGGTTTTCCTCGATACCGGGCGCTTGGGATGAAGCAGTAGCAGCAGCAGCAGCAACAAAGCAGAGTGGTTTATTTTATCAGGTGTTAAGAACACATTTTACAGCAGTTGCAATATTCTCTGAGGGCAGAACATTTTTACTTTCATGTTTTTCTAACCTACGCAAATACAGTTAAACACAGAGTCTTCGAAGATGCTGCACAAAGCGATAATAAATATAAATTTTTTGAAGAATGGAAAGCGATGAGTTTTTTGCAGAAAATAGTAAAGATGTTTGCTAATTAAAGCTCAGACCTATAGTATTGTATTGAAAGTTGCTGCTTTGAGAATTGCAATCTGCTTCTTAACATAGGCTAAATTCCCACTGGTTTATGCCCACTACTGGACGG